TAAATACTGAAATACTTTAGAATACACTTTCAAAGCATTATAACGTAAAATATCTTTATTAATAATAAAATGCTAATAAAATTATACAATATGATAATTATGCCTTTCTAATCATATTGTGTTTTAACCAATAAAATTACAAGATTATTCTATCACATAATCGAAGATTGACATCTCAAATTTGGCCGCTTAAAAATTTTTTGGTCAGGACTAAGTTGTATGCACTGTAATTCTTATTTTATTTTCTAATTCTAATTTCTTATTAAATTTTACTATTACATTATTTTTATTCTTAAATTTATATTTATTTTCTGATTATTTTATAGTTTTTCTTACTTCTATTCTCAATTTTTCTTTGATATTTTATATATTTATTTTTGATTTTTTCAATATTTCACATTTATATTTACAATTCTTTTTCAATATTTTATATTCCTATTCTTAAGATTATTATATTATTATTATTATATATTATATATTATATTATATATTATATAATATTATTACATCATATTAATTTTTTAGATATTTTTCTTTTTTCCTTTATTTTTCATTCTTTAATATTCCTATATTATATATAATAATTCTTCTCTTTTTATATTCTTAATTATATTTATATTTATTCTTTATTATTTCTATTTATTATTTTTTTTAATAATATAAGTTATATAAATATTCTAAGATCTCATTTTGTTAATTTTTCATTTGAACTTTTTTATAATTTTTATATATATTTTTATTTTTTTTTATTTTAAAGGTTTCTTTAATATTTTCTTTTTGTATAACTTTGATAATCTTAGAGAACAAATTATAATTAGTTATATAATACAAAATGAACTAATTAAGAATGTTTTATTTATTAAAGTTAAAATTGAAGAATAAAATAAAATTAAATTATATAATAAGTAATATAAATACAGTCAACTCTTAATATAGCGAACTCTTAATATAACGAATTTTTTGAACAAATATAATAAAAATACTCTTGTTATAGCGAATTGGCCAATCAAATCTCTTAAAATCTTCACTATAGCCTTATAGTGAAGTTGAGATCTAAGACATAGAATTCGTTATAACAAGAGTTGACTGTATATTATTATATATAAATTAATCACAAAATATAAAAGAATATAATTTTGACTAATAATTTATTTATTATAATCTTTATTTAATTAGTTATTTTCTAATTTTTTAATATAGTAATTTTATAATATTTCTATTAATAAAATTATATAATATACTATTTTATAATTTATTGATTCTACAATATTTATTAAATTTATATTAATTAATTAATTAATTAATATTTTTTATTGTTTAAATATTTTTGTATTTATTAGTTATAATAATTTTTATATTAAAATTAGATCTAATCAACTTTACTTAAATTAAATATATGTAGAATATTTACCTTTATTTAATCTGTAAAATAATATTTTATTTATTAAAAATTAAAGTAACTGATAAAGAATACTAATACACTTTCATTTTAAAATTTAATAACTTATTAAACTAAATTCTAGTTGTATTAGAATAATTAAATCAGTATTAAAAAGTAAATACTATACTTAAGAAAGTTAATAAATACTGAAGATATTTATCTTACTTATATTAACTAAAAATTGTAACAAGAAATTATATAAAATTTATCAAAAAAATAATAAATTTAATAATATTTAATTATAATACTTATTATTTTTTTTGATAACAATTATAAGAAAAGATTATTTTTTATAATTAGATATATAAATATTATAAGTGCTAGTTTATAAATATATTTATATTATAAAATAGAATTATGATAATTCTGAGTTTAATTAAAAAATAGTTTTTTAAATCTATATAAAAATAATCATTATTTTGTAAATTTAAATGAATATAATATTGAGTAAAAAATAAAATTATTTAGTATTATAACTTAAGTTTAATATAAATTATATTAAAGAAAAATTAAGTTTAATAAAACTATTAGTTACTTGTTCTAATTGAAAAATTGATATTAGTAATTGAATCTAATCAGATCTTTAAATTAGATTAATTGATTACAATTTAAGGATTAAAATCAAAAAAGAATAAATTATTAGTTATTTTATAAAAAATTTGAGATTTAACTAATAGTAATAAATTAAATTGAAAATAAAAATTCAGAAATTTCAAAATATGATTAATAAATATTTCATATATAAAATTAATATTTTATTTTTATAAAATTTTGCACTTTTATTTTGCTTTACTAAAAATTTTTAATAGATTATTATTATATTAATATATATGATAATTTATAATTAATAAAATTCTATATTATCAAATATTATCATATTTCTAGAATATAGATTATTGTCATATTTAGAAATACTATATATAGAAAATATTGGTCTATATTAATTTACATATATGCTGATTTGTTTTACTTTAATTATATTACTTGTAAGCTGTAATTATTATTATTATAATAAAATTTTATTTATTAATTCAATTTTATTTTATAATTAACAAATATAAATAAATAATTTTAAAATTTTCAAAAGAAAAAATTTATTATTTTATTATAACTTTATAACAAATAAGAATCTTTTGCAATCTACTTAATCATAAATATTAAAATTATTTTATAAAGTAAATGAATCATAAAAGATTGAGAAATTATGAAAACTATAATTAAATAACATAATTCATTCAAGATTATTATTCAAATTTTTTATGATCAAATTTGAATAATTTTTAATATTTTAAGAAGGAAAATATGACTCTTTATAATAGTACTAAAATTGTCTTAATCCAATATATTAATCTATAGCTATAACTATTTTATAATCTTATTATGATAATAAAATAAACAATATAAAATATTTTATAAAATTTGTAATAAAATAAATAAGAATTAAATTAAATAATAAATGATCTTATTTAGAATCTTTCAATGCTATTAAGAATAAATACAGGAGGAATATTACTTTCATTTTTTTCTGGAAATTATAAGAGTTATTTCTATCATTTTATCAAATAATCTTCTAATATTTAAATTAAGTAATTTTATAATTCTACTTACTATTTCCAAAAAAACCAATTCTAAACCAATTTCCCACAGGTTTCAATATTGCAAAATCAGGTTATGAAAGCATGCCAAGTCTTTTACAATTGGTTTAAATACATAATCATAATATATATTATTCTTGCATAATCTTAAAATTTTCATTAGTTTCCTATTTTTGTAATCGGAATGTCGATCAAAATTCATATTTATTTAAATTTAATTAGTGGGTGAGCCAATTTCTTAATTACCAATGAAATTATAGATTACAAATTAAATTAATAGGTAATTTTTTATATACAGTATAACATAATTTTTTATGTTATTAATTTATATCTTATAATTTTTTAATAATTTATTGTGACGGTTTTATTTATTTTAGTATTAACACAAAAGATTTTTATTAATGCCGGCCGTGTATGAATCTTTTTTATTTATCTATGTCTTAGTTTTCGCTGAAACTAAATTGGCAAACGTATTCATTCATCGGTCAATTTTTCAAAATAATTTATTCAACAAATCACTTTATTCCGCTTTTAATTAGATTATGAAACTTGAACGGATGATGATATTAAAGCAATGGATAATATAACAAAAGTTCACCTTTAGTTAGTTTTATTCAATTATTAAGAATTTTAATAATTTCCGACGATTTCAACATTCAAAATTAATATGCAAGCATGTATTGTACGGATAAAAAACTTGCTAAGCATCCTTGTTAGTCGTCGGAGACCTCTGTCAATTACTTCCGTTAACCTGTGGTGATAATTAGAAATTTCCATTAAATAAATGTGATTAAACCGATTCAACGACGATTTATACAGTAAATATGATTTCCACAGTATATATATATTTTTATCACGATGGAGTGGTCGCAAAAATTCGATGATGATTAAAGCAATTTATCTTCACCCTTCTTTGGTAACTTTTTCAAAAGAATTACCTTGGTAAATCTATCATGTTGAAGATTAATTATGGACGAGTGAAAACCTCTGCCGTCCATTTAACTTTAAATATGAAAAAACTTTCTTGTATATTAAACTTTCCAGCGCAACGAGAATATTAAGGATTTACTTCAATCCGTGAGTATGTAAATTAAACTCCAATCTAAAAAATTTAAATTAGCGACAATTAAAAAATTTGAATATCTTGTGGTAATTTAATGTGGGCCAATATACCATCGAAATCCGTAAAATTAGCCAATCACAATACTAATAATCAAAAAATTTTGATATAAAAATTAGCTACAGCGGAATTTTATTGAATTCAAATTTTTTATTTTGATTTTTCTTAAAAATGTCCAGACTCAATAAAGATATTCTTTACTTATTATTTGAAGAATTAAATGAGGACTTTACTTCCCTTTTTTCATGTCTATTAGTTAATAGGCTTTGGTGTGAAACCGTAATTCCGATTTTATGGAGAAATCCGTGGAGAAACAAAATTTATCGAAACAGAAGTTCATTGTACTATGTCATCACTTTCCCTTTATCTAATCGTATCAAGAAATCTCTAACGAGCCAAGGAATCCATTTACCTTCAACTTCATGTACACCGCTGTTATTCGATTATTTGTCTTTCTGCAGGTGCATCAATGTAAGCGTTATAAACGACATAACATCTATCGGTTCGTCGTTAGCTTATAATCAATACCTTTTGCAACAAGAAATTTGTAGACTCTTTATAAGGAAACTTCCAGAGGTCAAGTTTTTGGATATAAGCTCAATTAAACAACGAATATTTTTACTTCCAATGACAAAGGTTTGTTTTGCGAATTGAGATGTGATACATCTATCGATTCCACCTACTTGGATAGATTGGCGAAAATCTGTCATCAAATCCAACGACTCATCATCATCAACACGGACATCAGAGCTAATGATGGGATCGCAAACTTAATCGAGAATCAGATGGATTTAAAACATTTTGAGTGGATTGACGATGTTTGATGTTTGTTATAATATGGAAGATGACTAAGAAAAGATCTTTCCGGCATTGGAAAAAAAGACGCATAGTATTACTCACTTTATAGCGAACTTTAATGATTACGTGAGGTTTGGTAAATACTTGTCAAGGATACTACCGAAACTTGTAATTTAAAACTGTTAAGGTTTGATCCGATCTTGTTTGAACTTAATGACCAATTGAAGCAATCGGTCTATCATAACCTTGAGGTCCTTCAAATAAATTGTACAACGATCAGTACAATAGCTTGTATAATTAAAAACAGCGGAAAGCATCTCAAGAAAATTTCAACCTCGGATCCTGAAAATGATGACTTTTATGAGGATTCACTTATTCTTATTCGGGCAATTTCTGAGAATTGTCCTTTGCTTGAATCCTTGTCACTTACATTCACATCATCAAAGATGCATTTCATTGAACTCGAAAAATTGCTAAAAACTTGTCAAAACTTGAAGGCGTTATCATTAAATATTAAAATTATCAATGATGTCTTGTCATTTAAATTTAATGAAACAATGTTGGAATCCGAAAAAGGATTATCTAAAGTGATGATTAAATCGGCGCCAGTTAATCTAAAAGAACTTCGACTTGATGGATATTATCATTTTATACTTTCATCGGAAACCTTGAAGACACATTTAGAGAATTGGAGTGGTCGACGTCCATTTTCGATTTTTGTATCAGACTCTCATTATGAAATAGAAGAATATAGAAGATTATAAACAAATACAAGAATGATGGCGTGATTAAAGACTTTAAACTGATTTGTCGAAGAGATATGTACAAGATGTTGATTAGGCAATCTTTGGATTCATTGGGCCATGTAAAATTATCACGTGTAACATAGTCCGTTATTGACTTTGTGTAGCGGTGTGCAGTCGTTGAAATCCTTTTACGGAGTAAAAGATTTTTCGTTATTATTTTTTTTAAAAAAAAAAAAATTTAATAAAACGTCAACCCTAGTATTCGAAGTCTCAGATGAACCATGATTATTTAATCAAATTCACTTATAATTCAATCATGATCACCATTTTCCTGCTTAAGCTCAAACCCTGCCCTGTTAAATATACTTACGCGTTTTTTTGAAATACGACTCCTCAAATTTCTCTGGAAGACCAGCATTTTAAAATGATGGTCAACCCTAACGGTGTACACAAAAACCAACCTACCTCGGGACATCACATATTAACCCACCTAACAATACTCAATCATTCATAGAAGCTTCAGCTTATGACACTCACTGGTCAAACCTTTTGATCCGGAGCGACATTATATTACGATTTTGCATTAAAACTTTGGTCACGTGAAATTCTCCGATATTCCAGTAAAATAACTTTTCCTTTTAGCATTTCTAGGAACTAAAATGATTTAACGTCAAAAATGTTATTAATGCAGATATGTTTTGACAGTTTAATTTACAACGCTCTTTGTATAAAAATATGTCTTTATCTTCAAAAATGTAATTGTCTTTTTACAAAGTATGAATTATTAAAAAATTGTCAATTGTAATAAATTTAATTATAAATAAAGAGGAGGAAAGACCTCATTAAAAAATAATATTTAAAGTTCCATTGCTTATTCTTCGATATCGTTCTAATATCTTCTTTTGAAGACGAAAACTCTTTTGAAAGCGATGTAGAACCTCAAGACGATGAAAATAATACTATATATAAAAGTCAAAAAAATAATTGGAAACGATAGCATGCACCTATTATAAATTTCTTGATGTATTCAAAAGATGATACTTGTAAAGTTTGCGATAAAGGTAGATGGGGAGCAAATGCAATGAGTTAAAAGAACACGTCATTTTAAGCACAAACAACCACATATTTTTGAAGAATTTTGACAAGCAGCTACAAGTTTACTCGCTCTTCTCCATATCAACAATTAATAAGTAATTTAAAATGAGTCCTTCATTATTGTTATACTCTTGATCTGCATTATAAACTTCCCTGCCGTTAAATGCTTTTCTGGAAATTTTAGAAAGCAATTCAAGTTAGTGAGAATGAAAATAAAAGACCTTTAACAAAAAACTGAAGTAAACTGACTCTTATACCCTTTCTTGGCACTATTCATTGATTGACATGAATAGATAATGTATACTCTTATTCTTGACCTTATCCCATTGCACGATTCACATATTAGTTATTTCTTGGGAGAAATTCTCAAGCTTGTAAAAGATCTAAAAATCAAAGAAAAGGTGATTGGGTTTACTGAAGATAACAAGGTCAAATGTTCAAACTTATTTCCAGCAATATATAAATTCTAAACTTTATACAGCACATATTAATAAACATTGCTATTAAAAATAAGTCAGAAATTTTACACAAATCAAATACAAAGGCGAGATATTTCTGCATGCCTTTGCTTTTAAAAGAATTGAAAAAAATCTTCACAATCCTAAATCGATCTTTCCTCCATCTTGAACTTGATGTTGATTCCATGTGAAACTTATAATTAAAAATTCAAGATACTGTTGTCGGTCTCATGTAATCCATACTAATCTAAAAGATGACTATCTAAAGCCTAATAACTGGAAATGAATTAAGGATATATTAGATCTCCTTCATCCCTTCTATCAGGCAACGTTTGATACTTTTGAATGCTTTATTGCCTTCCTATGAGTCTTTACGGTTAATCTTCCAAGACCTTTTGAGCTTCTAGATCATCATATTGTGAAATGACCTAAGAAATTAAAACAAAGCTAGTAAGGTTACTGGACCTATCTTTTGCAAATATTAACCAATCCGCTCTTATTGATCCATCAGCAAAGCTCAAAACTTTCAACAAAAAAGATCACAAATTAACTACGAATCAGTTAAAGGTTTTTTTTATTTAATGTATTACTTGGGTAATACAGATATGTAATAAGAATAATGTATTAAATAATTTATTAAAACATATTTATTTAATATTAAACTTAGTTATATATCTACCAAGTTATTATAAATATACTTTTTTATAAATGAATAAAACGTCAATTAATAAAAATTTTCAATTTTCTTTAATTTATTAGGTGGCCTAAACTTCTGGCCAGGGAGTGTTTATATACTATATATATTTTTCTTTTTTTGTGAATAGATTCTATTATTTTGCTCCTTCTAAAAAAAAAGAAATTCTAGAAAAGAGCCTAAGCTTGTTTACAATTTCGTATCAATGTCTTTAATAGAAAATTAATTCAAAGACTATCCATACCTAGTCTCATAACCGAGTTCAAAATCGTCTTATTCTCAAGGCTGAAGAATTAGATAAAAGGTTGTCATTCAAAATAAAGTATATACAAGTAAAAATTTGCAGGTGATTTACTTTCTTTCTATTTATATTTTGATAATTTTCGTCTTTCTTAATACCTAATTTACATAAAATAGTCGCTGTAGATTTATTAAACATAACTTGGGTGGAAACTAAGTATTTAGATGTAATAAATGTATTTTTCTCCAAACTATCAACTAATTGATTGTTTTATATATAGTAATTAACTATTGTTAATTATTCATATATATTAATAATCGATTCAATCCATTCTTACGGTTCTAAGTTCCGGATATTTTTCTAAATTTTTTGAAATTTTTTTTTTTTTTTTTTTTTTTTTGCATTCTCATTGGTTACTCTAATAATAGTTTTGCCTTCAACCAGTCATAATTGTATTTGAAAATTATTATGTACGAAACCAAAAAATCGACAATTATAGTTCTATATTTGGAACACAAGGAATTAATTAGCATGCAGATAAGACGGGATCGTCAGAAGTAACGAGAAAAGTCATGATAATCAATTAATTATACGTTATCAAAATGATAAGCCTTGTGATTGTTTGTAATTAGGATTTCAATAAGATTTTTTGTAGAAATGCATTACCGCATTAGTTCCTCGTATGTAAAATTATTTTACAAATAAAAGGTAACTTACGGTTAAAATCATCGACAAGTGGCATATTTTACTTTAGACTTTACATATAATATAATGGCACATCAACATTAAAGTAGCATAACGCGTTATTGTTTTAAGGTATTTTTTATTTTTTTTTACTTCATAATTCCGACGAAAAGAATTAGAGAATGCTCATCTATACATGCGTAAAAAAAAAAAAAAAGAAATGCAAAAGAAAAAAAAATATTTAAAAGATGTTTGTATAATAAATGTAAGAGGAGAAAAAAAAAAAATAAAATTTACAAAAACTAGCCAAAAGATGATGGAGTCATTAGAATACTATTATAAAATAAAGATAAAAAATTATGATCATCGTTTGGAGCCTGATTGTTAAATTCCAAAGGATTAAAATGATTTATGGTATTATTTACTGGATTATTTTGAAAATATTGCTCATCTTGATCAAAAGTGGGAGAAATATTTGATGAAGGTTGGGAAATAGAATGTGTGGGAACTGGAAGTAATAAAGGAGCATTTACTGACGGTGTAATTAATTGTGAAGGATACGTGTAAGGGTTATAACTAGATCGAGCTTTATTTTGAAAGGAAGTGGAGCCTATGGCTGGTTTATAAATCATTGTGGTTCTCTTTGAATGAATTTCATTTACACGATCGGCTAGTCTCTCATAGACTCCCTTCTCTTCGGAAGTTGCGTTTCTCCATAAAATGCCGGTAACCTTACTTATCACACGCATGTTGCAGGTTCCTTTGCGTTTCGCTTCTTGGTGAACATTTTTTCTGCAGAGTAAAAAGGCATTTGGAGGTCTTCTCGGTCGTCTTAATGATAGATTATTTGTATTTGTAGAAGAAATAAATGTTTCTGGATTATTATAATGTGGTGGGAAGATGTTTCTTCTGTCCAACCTTTCAATTAATGATATCGCTAAATCCTCTATCGAAAAATTTTGCGTCGTCATTTTTATTCTATTTGTGATTTATCTTTTTAAAGGATTTGAATTCGTATTCGAAATTTAATATCAGTTATCAGAAAAAGTAAAAAGTTATTTGGTAGTTTATATAAATGAAATTTTTTTTTGCATGCAAGTTACGTCTTTTCCTTTAATAACTCAATCCGGTATAATATCCAACCATTCTCGCATTAGCAGGTAAATTTGTTCGCTAAAAAAAACTATTCAATGATTTTTTTTATTTCAAATTATCATCTTATTCCGTGTATAGAGAAATTAGTGCAAAAATTTAATGGTTTTACCGGTATTGATTTCCGCCCCAAATTTTGACTTTATACTCCGATCATCACTATTTATATTATCAATCGAATAGTTTTTGGCATACCATTTACATATGAAGCTAAATTTTAAGTTTCAGTGCAACTTCTTCAGAAATTTTGTTTGTTTTTTTTTTTTTTTTTGTTTTATAAAACGCATTACGGTGTGATTGGTAAATTTTTTTTTCTTTTTTTCAATTTAATCAAAGAGATCAATTATAATTTACTTCCATTCAAACAAAATATTTGCCAAATTTAGAAGGTTAAGCCACAAATATCTTGATTTTAACTTGTGAAGAAGGCAAGTCGATTCGCTAGACTGGTAATTAAATAAAGCAAAGCATAATTAATGGATTAGAAAATTCAAATTCTCGAAAACCGTTCCACGTATTTTTTTTCCTATTCACTTTACAAAAAAAAAGAATTTTCTTTATTTGGGATCACAATAATAACATTAATATAAAAATTTATTTGGGAATCTCCTTCTGTTTGGTTAAATATCTATTAACACGTGAAATTATCCATTTGTCATCGCCTAAGGTAAATTTACTCGGAAAATTTCACCGCTAAGCAAACGCAGTAAATTTAATTAGACAAGTGATTCGGTCAATTGTTTCATTTATTCGATCAGTATTAACAAAATCATTTGCATTTACAATCCTTTTAAATGAGATGAAAGGGATCATTGACGCGAATTCACCCAAAAATAATTGTCTCCTGAAAACAAACGTATCAAGTGTCTTAACTAATCGAACATTTGAGCCGATTATTTCTTTATTGATTTCTTCGTTTCGTGTAACTATTTAAATATTTACTTATAATACATTATTAATTCTTTGAAACACACCTCTTATCAATAAATATACATGTACTGTATAATAAGGATACTTTTTGATAATGATAATCTTCAAATTCTTTACAATTAATTAAGCCTTTTTAAAAACATATTTCTTATGAATGGAAATTTTTTTCAAAATACATTGTGCACCAGCAATAATTACGCGTATCTATTGTACTTCATTTTCGAAGGAACAATATCGACGTGATACTTATTATGAAGGAAATTACATTAATCATAAATGTATATTTATTTATTATAAATCCTCTCAAGACGGCAAATATACAATCGCGTTTATTTTATTTTATTTTATTTTAAAAAAAAAAAAAATCTATATGAAACATGAAACGTTTGCTAATTTTAGTGTTAGAGACAACGACTATTCGTATTTGCTAAAAATAAATCATAGTGGGTGCCGCAGCATTTCACATCAGTACTTAATCGGTTCGGTCTAACCGTCCGTTTTGACCGCAACAATCGCGACAGGTTCACGATGTTTCACAAAGATTTTATATTCTCCATTCTAACATTACAAGCAATTGCTAGAAGCATTCACGTCACACTTCATATGACCATTCCACCATATATTCTAATGATAAAATTTCATAGAAATCCTTTTCACCTTTACTCATTCTCCATAATTTTCTTCGTAATTTGAAGTTTTTATTTGATAAAAGGTTTGATAGTTAATAGGTTCCATTTTATCAACAACATCAATTGCAACGGTGGCAATAGCCATATTCAAACAGATGTGACAGAGCACATTCAGTTCTTGTAGCTGACTAATTCGTAATTAGTAATTAATTATAAATGAAATTGCGTAATCGAAAAATTACGACTTCTTTTGCTTATTCAATATTTTTTTTACGTGTAAATGCATCATCAATCAATAACTGAACTTACTATTAGTTGATTAGTTATATTCATTTAATTCTCAATATGTAAAAAAATCTACAGATTAATAAATTTCTTACATCATTGCACAGATTTCAAAATTTCATTGTATCGACAAATTGATGAAAATAATTAAAGAAATTCGATTTTTAAACATGAAGAAAAATAATGATAGTAGATTTATTAGAATTCTATTTTTATATATTGCCATATTTGCTTTAATTATAATATTTGATTTTTATAAACTTTTTATTATCCATTTCTTATATTATTATACCATTATATTAACCATTTGTTAAAAATTATAAAGCGAAGTTTTAAAAAGATATGGAAATTTGTTGTAAAAAAGTGATGGATCACAAATTAGGCAATTTTTGTTTTACATCCAAACTTTATAAAATGAATTAATTTTACCGACCTTCAAAAGCATTAATGCTTGTAGCGATATCATATCCAAATAATTTTGAACTTTTTATCATGAAATGACTATAAATTTCTTGCCACAAAAAAAAAAATTGTAAAAAATAATGTCAAATTGGAAGTAATCACATGGATTGTTAATAATTCTTAAATATCATCGAATAAAAGGTAGGTAATAATGTAGATAATCATATTCGTAAGAAAAAAAAAAAAATACGGGAAAAAAAGAAATGAGCGAAACGTGTCATCACGTGAGAGCATGATCGCTTTGATAAACGTTTATGTAAAACATCTGTTATATTATTATCATTCATTTATGAATACTCAAATTAAAGCACAATTCGTTCGCTAATTTACGCTAAAATAAATAATCCCATATTTAAAGTCCTTTATCACACCTTCATCCTTGTATTTTTCCACTACACTCATATACTCTTCTTTATTATAAAGAAAGTCTGATGTTACAATGGAAAGTGAAGCTCGACCTCTCCAATTTTCCAGAAAAGACTTGAAGGTATCAAAAGAAAATCTAAAACCATATTTATCAAATCTAATTTCTCTTAGTTCGTTTGGTGCTGATTTAAGTAATACTTCTGATAATCTTTTTCCAGAATCACAATAATTTTCGTAATATAAATAGGGTTCATCCCTTTCATTCGCACTTGCTTTATATAATAGTAATAAGCTTTTCAACCTTTGACAAAACTTTAATAATCTTTCGAATTCAACGAAATATTCTTCTGTTGATGAAAATGCAAGCGACAAATATTCAAGCAAAGGACATTTTTCACAAATTCTACGCATCAAAGTGAGAGAATCCTCATAAGAGCAATCATATTTATCGATTAAGATTCTCCTGAGTTGTCCTCCGCTGTTTTTAATTATCTCAGTCATTGTGCTGATTTTAATACAATTTATTTGAAAGGTTTCAAGGTATTGATAGGGTGATACTTTCAACTGATTTTCAAACATAAGATAATAATCACAGATTTTTAATGATTTTAGGTTATGAAATATTGGAAGGTTGATTATTAGGGTTGAATCATAACAATCTTGCAAACTTATTACAAAATGGATTAGAGTATCTGCCTTTTTTTCTAATTCTAGAAACATTTCTCTATAATCATGTTCTGCAATACGAAGAAATTCAAAATGTCTGAAGTTATCCTTCCATTCGAAACATTTCAATTTCTTTTGAACCCCAATTAACTTGTTAATTCCACTGTTAACCCTTCTTTCAGTATTGGTAACGATGAGCTTCTCTATAGATTTACAGATACGTGATAATCCATAAAAGAAGGTAGGATTAATAGATGTATCACATTTTAATTCACAAAGAGAATCAAGGCGAGCCTTCGCTTCTGTAAAATAAAATATTTGGTGTTCAAGTGATCTCATATCCAAATACCTTATTTCTGTGCATTTTTTCATAAGGAGACTGTAAATTTCTTGTTGCAAAAGAAATTGATTATAAGCTGAAGATCCACCAAATGAGATTATATTGTTTATAACAATTACATTTAGACTCCTGCAAAATGTTAAATAATCAAATAGAGGGGGTTGATTTGAAAAAAGTATCCCTTGGCTCGTTAGGAATTTTTTATTATCATCAGATAAAAAGTAGGTGATAATGTTGTACAAGGAACTCTTTTTTCGATAATCAATATCTACATAGCACCAAGGATTTCGCCATAAAACCGGAATCACAATCTCACACCAATTTTTATTAACCAACATACACGAGAAGAGAAATTTTGAATTATCCTGCATTTCTTCAAACAACAAGAAAAGAATATCTTTGTTAAGTTTGAACATATTTTAAATGGAAATAATGGTTATAATCAAATGATTGAAAAAGGCGCTCATTTTATACTCCTAGATTAGCTGTTGTGGTCGAGCATAAATTCTTGTGTAATCACGTGGAAGCAAAAAAAGGAGCACCTGACATGACAATTTTGTATATTTTGAATCGAACAAAAAAAAAAGCAGCTTATGTTCGGTCACCCGTAATCTGCTTCAAACAAGGAGGCCATTTAAAATTCTAGCCCAGACCAAGTATTTTAATTACATTTTAAAAAAAAAATTCTTATTGATGATCGGTCGGTGACGCGAAATTTAAGCATAAATATAAATATGTAATACAATAATGCCATCTACTTAAATTTGTGCGATGTGGCACTTGATTCTCTAGTTAGGAATTGCATAAAGAACTAGATGATCTGATAATTTCACCATTTAATATATCGTAAAATTTTGATTTGTTGTTTTAAAAACCATATTGCTATAAAAAATTAGTTAAATTATAATGTTGACCAAATCTGGGCCGGCTCCCTAACACCCGGCACGGAAATATTTACAGTAAGCCGGTTCGGACCTGGCACGTAACCAGGTCCGGCCGGGACCTCTATAATCATCGGTAATTTCTGGAGTCGACTCAACCGCAGAACAGGGTCGCGACTCTCAATTAAAACTTATCATCTGCTTGTTTTTACAAGTCGATTCAGCCATCGAGTAAAAA